AGCTCACCGGTGAGGAAGGTGCCATGCTCAAGACCCTCGAGATGGTGGCCCAACTCCTCACGTTCGACACTACGCTCCTCAGGCGGCCGCGCACGCAGAAGCATCAGCACATCCACACGTGCTACAAGCGCGGCCGTGCCAAGTGCCGGTTCGGGGCGCCCTTCATGCCCAGTGATGAAACAAGGATCGTGGTGCCGTTTCCACCTGCGCTGGAGGGAGACGATGCGAAGAGTGAGCGGGAACGCCAGCGTCTCAAGGCCCTCAAGAAGAAGTATGATGAAATGCACGAGGGCCTCGAGTCCGGCGACTTTGAGGATCTCGCCTCGTTCCTATGCGCTTTCGGCCTGCACTCAGAGAAGGAGTATATGGATGTCCTGCGCGCCGGCCTTTCGCGACCCTGCGTCCTCCATCGAAGAACCCCGGCGGAGAAGTTTGTGAATGCATTCAACGCGTGGATAGGCCGGGTCTTGGATTTGAATATGGATATGCAGATAATACTCGATCACTACGCGTGCGCTTCCTACGTGGTGGACTATGTCAATAAGTCCGACCACGGAATGTCCAACCTCAAACGCACCGTTGCCGAGATCCTCAAAACGAATCCCAATGACGACATCGAAGCCGTGATCCGCAAGCTTCGTGGGGACATCCTTAAAGGAATTGAAATGTCGGCACAGGAGGCGGCCTGGTTTCTGCTCAAACAGGACATGTCGCACAAGAGCCGGGAGGTGGTGTACGTCCCCACGTGCTTCCCCGAAGAACGGGTGCGCGTACGCAAAACGCGTGCCGAGTTGGGGGCGCTCCCTCCGGGCTCCACCGACGTCTGGAAAGCGAACCTCGTGCAAAAGTACGAGGCCAGGCCGCCTACCCTCAACGACGTATGCCTCGCCGACTTCGCCAGCAAGTACCGGCCGGCGAAGGGTGATTGCCGTTACGTGCTCAGGGTACGGCCGGCTGTGATACGCTACAGTGGATACAAACCCGGTAACGATGTGGAGTCGTATATGCGGGAAAATGTCCTTCTATACGTCTCGTTCCGAAGCGAAACGGTTGATGCGTTGGATGGTAATAGGTATGTGTCCATCTACGAGAACAACAAGCAGTTGATCGAGGTAAAACGAAAAGAATACAACCTGGCGGATGACGATGCACTGGTCCAAGAAATGGTGGAGGTTCACTACGCCGAGATGCTGCGGCTCAGGCCAGAGAGAGAGTAGGATGAAGAAAGAACAATGCAAGAAGAAGAAGAATGTAATGAAGATGACGGGTGCGCGCGGGTACAAATCCCCGAACGACGAGATGCGGATGCTAGTGTGTACGCGGACGTGCTGCCTAACGAGCGCCTGCTCCGACTGCTCAAAGAGGTCAGTACGCCGTGTGCTGCGGTACGCAAACGGCGCGGAATCATGGAACGAGACGAGTACGTCTCGATGATGCGCAGCACCAACCCCGAGCAGTACGAGTTGCTGCGCGAGATTCTGCACCGTCAGACCACGCCGGGGCAGCCTCTGCTGCGGGTCTTCTTCACGGGACCCGCGGGTTGTGGCAAGACCTTCGTGCTCAAGCTCGCCATGGACGTGTATAACCGCTGGGCGGACTGCTGTGGTGCCGTTGGCTCGGAAGACGGCTCCTCCTCATCCGTCCCTTCCGTCTACAACGCGTACGTGATCTGCACCAGTACGGGAAAGGCCGCCGTTGCTGTGGGTGGAACCACCGTCCACAGTGCCTTCAAACTCGTGCGGGCTGCCCGTGGAAACCGACAGGACGCCCGCCTCGGAGTCATGGGGGACGATGGACTCCGACCTAGTGACCTGAACACCTTCCGGCGTGCCTTCCGCAGAGTCAAGTGCGTCATCATAGACGAAGTCAGTATGATGTCCGCTGACCGACTCAAACTGGTTGATTGCCGTCTGCGCCAGATCACGCAGCGACTCACCGAACCCTTCGATGGACTGAACGTCATCCTCTGCGGGGACCTGCGGCAGTTGCCGCCCGTGCGTGCCAGCGAGATCTTCAAGCGGCCCCGCAGTGCTGATGGTCTCCTCGGATTGAGCACTGTCACCTGGCATCATCTCAAATACTTCCCGCTCGTGAGAGTCGTGCGCCAGTCTGACGTCACCTTCTCCGCGGTCCTCACCAAGATCGGGGACGGCCGCGCGCTCGAGCCCGAAGAAGTAAAGCTTCTCGAATCCAGGTTCGTCACGGTCGAGGAAGCCGCCGAGCGTGCGCCCTCGGCTGTGCGCATCTTCTACTCGAACGCCGATGTCACGCGTTTCAACGAGACGGTGGCCCGTTCGCAGGACGATTTCATGGTGCTTCGCGCGCGTGATCGGTACCTCGGCTGCAAGACGCCGCATCTGCTCGAGAATGCCATGCTCAGGGTTGCCTGCATGGTTCCCAGCGAGTTTTCAAATCTGCCCGGGGAAGTCATGGCCGTGGTTGGCAAGCCCTACATGATGACTCATAACATCGATCTCGTGGATGGTCTGGTCAACGGTGCGGTTGGAGTCTTGCGCCTGTGTGAGCTCGCCGGCCCGTTGCCCGATAATGGAGATGGAGTGGATGAAGAAGGAGAAGGAGACGAGGATGAAGAGACGCGCGTGAGGTGACTGTGGCTCGAGTTCGATGTGCCCGGTACCGGAAAGCTCACGCGTGCGCGCGCCGCTCGGGCCGTTCACGAGGCCCGTTCCAACGGCTACGACGTGACCAGCGAGAATTGGATACCCATCGAGATGCAGTCGGCCACCGTCACGGTAGATCGAAAGGCCGGCATAGCTTGTAAACGGACGCAGTTCCCCCTTGTCCAGGCCAGCGCCATCACCGTGCACAAATCTCAGGGGGGAACCTACGCCTCGGTTGTGTACGACTACTCCAAGACGCACCCGCAGAAGCTCGTATACGTTGCGCTCTCTCGGTGTACCAACCTCAACGGACTATACCTCACCAACGCTGAGGGAGACCGCACCTTTTACCACAAGCAAGACAACCCCGACAAACCCATGCTCGATGAGTTTCGGAGGCTCGAGAATCACCGTCTCGTCACCGTCACGCAGCGCTACCTCTCCGCTCTGAGGGACCAGCATTTCCGCAGGGTGTGCGAGGGTGGCTGTAGGGAGTTCACGCTCGCGCTCCTAAACGTCCGCTCTCTCTCGGCGCATGCACTGGACGTTGCCAAAGACCCCGTACTCTCCAGAGTTGATCTCCTCTGCCTCACGGAGACCTGGAATCGCTCCTCCGGTGACTGCGCTGCCGATGTCTCCCTGAGTGGCTACGATCGCGTGACCCGGGTCCTCGCCGAGAGAAGGGCTGGTAGAGTGGACGTCTTCCTAAAGCGCTACCGGCCCTTCAGTGAAGAGCTCAGGCGACAGCAGGACCAGACCCAACTCCTGGTCTTAAAGCGTGCCGACCTCGCTCCTGATGCATCGCCGCGAACGTGTCCCACTGACGACCCGTGCTCCTTCACCCGGAGTGGAAGCCGGGGCGAGTACAGCAGCGTGTGCTTGGTTGGACACGTCTGCGCCAACGTCCTCTCGTATGCCGTGTGTACTTCGCCGCTCAGAGACGACTCGCCGTACGCCTCCGTCTATACCAGTGCCTACTCCGGCGATGCCGTCTTGGTTGTGACCGTCTACCTGGCCCCGAACCTCTCGAGAGATGACGTCTTGGAGCAGATGGATGCGGCGATGGAGAGTGAGTCTGTGCGCGTGCGTCCCTCGGTTCCGATTGTGGTGGTGGGTGACTTTAACGTGGACGTTAGAAAAGACAATGGCTGGTTGGTTGACCACATGCTGAACAATTACTCGATGACGTGTCTGTCTTTCGAGTTTCCGACCACGATCAACGGTGGCTTCATAGACTTGGCGTACAGTAGGAACTGTACGGTCCGCTCCGACTTGCCGGATCCGCTCACCGTACATTTCTTGGATCCCAAAGCGCTGGTACTAACCGTGAGCTACAACGATAACACGAATAGGTGCTAATCTGTAGTGTAGTTTGTGTGTGTGTGTGTGACGCGCTCGCGATGTGTGCATTTAATGCATCGTACGAAAATCGTGAAGTGTAAATAAATAATACTTCGTATATAATGTATCTGTGTACAAATGCTTCCTGGCAAACAACACTTAAATTCATTAATTACACTTTAATCGTCATCATCAGTAATTAAACTCCCAAGCATTTCCCCGAGGGTGAACATGGTTAAGTGCGAATGCCCGGGGTGATGCTATGAGAGGGAGTAAAGTTAAAATCCGTTCGCATTCGCCAGTGAGTTAACGTAAACTCCACCGTGTGATCAAATTGCGATTCCCAGGAACCATTACACCATAAAGGCACCATAATGTGAATAATAAATATAATAGTGCGAATTAATAAATACCCCTCATAGCATCACCCCGTGCATTCGTACCTAACCATGTTCACCCTCGGGGAAATGCTTGGGAGTTTTTTGTTGTGGGTTGTGGAACAATAAAAATTCACAGCGTGCAGGTTAACTAAACAAGACTGTTGGTCTCCGTGTCCGATCGAAGTCTTCTGTCTCTCATCGCCCAGGAGCAGCGATTGGTAGGCTCCAGTAGGAAACACAGGTCCATCTCTGCGCTTGCACCTCCCCAGGTTTTTCTCCTGCGAAACGCCGCGATGAACGCCAGTGTCAACGTCGCGGCCAGTGTAAGCGCTAGCGCCCGCTGTTTCGCGTCTACACATGGTTTCTGTTAGTGGGAGATGACGTAATTTTGCTATTTTGTGATTTTTAATATAGTTCCTGTGTGCTCAGGGGAATTAGCTAAGAGCTGCTAGTGCCCCAAGCCGCTTCATTCGGTTTCATTTGAAATGATAGTGACTTCGAGACGACATCGTAAACTTTGGTGATATGTGACATTCTGATGGTGTCATCACGTGACAATGTTTTTTCCTCACTCGCGTAATATGAGCAGTCAATTGTTGTGTTTGATGAGGCATCTAAACATTTCGTCTCATTATACTGCATGATTGTTCCCGCAAAGATGCCGGTCTACAAAGGCGCGGACCGGCCCATCGCTCAGCAGCTGGTAACGGAGAAGTTCTACTTCGGGCCTGACAGCTTCGGTGGTGTTAGTGACAAGTACGCGATGGCCGTGCTGAAATCGGTGTCCAACAAGGTGGCGCCCGTGGTCATGAGGGACATGATTAGGCAGCGGCCCAAGGAGCTCACCCTCCTGATGATAGGACCCCTAACCAACTTGGCCATCGCTATGCTCATGGATCCAGAATTGACGGAGGACGTTGAGCAAATATTCATAATGGGAGGCAACATTTATGGTAAGCCATCAGTCTATGTCTTATAGGCTAATGCACACCTGCAACCCACACAAGTTTCGCTACTAAGTTAGTCTTCAAGCAACTTTTGAAACGATTTGGGACGCATGGTCTCAAATGGCCTCTGGAGTCCAATAGCGGCTGCCTAGGCTCATTGGCTCCCTGATAGATTTTCCGGTCACGTGATTGCAGTAAAGAATATATGACCCAACCAGATGAACAGATAAGTGACGTAAGCTTTGCTTACGGTTACAACGCGAGGGGTTGAGAATTCTGCTTAGCGACGAGAACCAGCTGGATGCCAGTGGGAAGATCGCTGGCCTTCAGTCGCATTCGGTCAGCAATCACGCATTGTCGAAAGACCAGTGCTAGTTGCAGGCGTTAATCAATCTCGGTATGTCCAATGGGTTTCGAAAGTAATGTGGAGTGGCACCACTGGATGAATGGATGGATGCTGTGAGCGTCCCTTTCGTGACGGCGTGTTAAATAGTGTACCCACACTTGGCCCAACCACACAAAAAACATTTTCTCGTTTTCTGTTTAAGGTGCCCTGATGCTTTGTCAAGTTTTTATAAATCAATCTCACTGTAGAACTGAAAGGTAAGTTCACAGCCATGCCTCTTGATGTAAAACGTTGTTTATTTTCCGGCTATTGTTGTTCTTTTATTTTAGTTTTGTGCCACCGATACTGCAACCATCTCTTATTTCTACAGTTGGCAAGTTCCGCTTTCCGTTGCTGTCCCTAAAAACGAAAGCCTGCAGCCTCGTGGCCCAACGTAGACCTGAGTGGATATCTCCACAGTTAATAAGAACGTGCTCTGTATTTACATCAATTAAAAGCAAATCAGCGCTTCATTTCAGACAAAAGGTGTCTAGGATACATTGGCTAAAGGGAGATGTGCTTTGCTTGGCGGCACCCTACCACCCGAGTGCACACTCAGTAGTAGTATTAGTAGAAAACTTTATTATGTACATAATCCAGACAGGCTTGAAGTCCAGTGCCCCGAGGAATATACAGGGTGAAGAGCGAAGTCTGTCCGGCAGGGTGGTGCCCCTATTCCAGGGCCCCACTGGCGCGAGCCATCCGTTCAGCTCTGTGGATCAGTCGCAGCTGATCCACTAGGGCTTGGCTAGACAGCAGCGCCTCCCATTCCACCCACGTGCCATTGGTGTCGTGTTCTTTGTCGTGCTCTGCACACTCCCACGTGATGTGAAAGAGTGTTGGGGTGGCTCCACACTACGGGCATGTATCTCTGTACGCCGTGAGGTAGATCGCATTAATGAAGAGTGTGGAGGTTTATGTAAGTGTTAGTCTGTATTCTTCTTAGCGCTGTTGCCTCCGCAGCGCTGAGCTTGTTATGAGGACGTAGATACAGCTGCCTATTTTCCCTGTAGTACTTTAATATCGTTGCGAAACAAGGGTCCAGTGGTGTAGGGTCATCACTTGCATTGTCTTGAGTGGCTCGGGGATTTGTGAAGCCTCGAGCCGCCTCGTCCGCGCGAAGGTTCCCTGTCACGCCTTCGTGCCCCGGTGCACAAGTCACAGCCTGTACGTATTTTACTGTGGGGTCCCATCCTGTCCCAACCAATATACGGAACGCCTGTGCTCCAATTTTGCCCTTTAGATAGTTTCTGCAAGCTTTTTGTGAATCTGTAATGATCTTTAATGGAGCGTTTCGCGTCCATCCCTCTTTTATTGCGAGTACTATGGCAACCTCTTCTGCCTGTGTTGTCGACGCCTGATCTATCGAAGCGCAGGCTGTAATTTTCCCTCTATGGTCGGTGACTACACACACATATCTCTTTGGATTGGTCTGATAAGGCGTGGCGACAGTGAATCTGGCCGCGTTCAAAAATCTTGTCATTTTGTCAATGTAGTCAGCCCTTGCCTTTCTTCTTCCAGCATGCAGAGTAGGATCCATGTTGCTTTGTATTGGCAATACGGTGTACCATTCTCTAAGTTCGCTTGGTACTTCTTTAGTTTCTTGGTGTGTTTGTAATAAAGTATCGCGCCCTAGTTTTGTAAGGAGTGCTCTGCCCGTTGGGGTTTGGAGAAGACGATTTTCTTGCGCTAGTAACTGGGCCTCGGATAATTCTTGAATTGTGTTATGAAGACCAAGCGTGAGCAGCTTGTCGTTTGAAGTATTTCGCGGTAATCTCAGGGCTGTATTGTAGGCCATTCTGATTATTTGGTTTGATTTTTCCTTCTCTTTCCTGTTCATAATTTGATACGGAAGCGAGTGTGTAATGCGACTGATGACGAGGCTTTTGACCAATTTTGGGGTATCTTGTTCCCTCATGCCTTTATGATTGTTTGTTATTCGCGAGATCATGCGTGAGATCTGCTGTACTGATGTTTTGAGTTGATTTAGTGTGTGCAGACATCTCTGATTAGCTTGAAGCCACATTCCTAGTATTCGTACGGTATCTTTCTCCGGAATGACATTTCCGTCGAGCTTGACTTCTAGCTTTAGATTCGGGTCGATCCTCCGTGCTTCTTTCTTCATGAAGCGAATGAGCTCTGACTTTTCGGCTGAGCACTGAAGACCCCGTATCCTTGCGTACTCTTCAATGGTGCTAGCTGCCTGTTGTAACCTATCTTCTTTCCCTGCTAGGCTGCCTGTGGTTGTCCATACCGTAATATCGTCTGCATACATCGCGTGTTGTAGACCGGCAATATCTTCGAGTTTTCCTGCAAGGCCTGTCATGGCGACATTGAAAAGTGTCGGTAAAATGACCGCTCCTTGGGGTGTTTCTTTGTTTGGAAGTTTAATGATGTCGGATTCGTAATCTCCCAGCTTGATTCTTGCAGTCCTGTGACTAAGAAAATTTTGACGTAGTCGAAAATTCATTCTCCACAGTTAGCTTCCTCCAGACTTTCTAGTATTGCTTTGTGACTGATGTTATCAAAGGCTTCCTTCATGTCAACTGCCATAACGACGTTTTCCCCAACCTTAAAGATGCCCATTAATACTTGTTCTTTTAAAAGTAGTAGAACATCTTGCGTAGAAAGGTGTGGGCGAAAGCCAAACATAGTTTCGGGCATGAAGGGGTTGTTCTCGAGATGGTTGAGGAGCCTGGTTTCCACCAGTTTTTCAAAAATTTTTCCTAAGCAGGACGTGAGCGAGATAGGTCTCATGTTCTCAATAGCAAGTTTTTATCTTGGTTAGGCACCATCGCCACAATCGCATGTTTCCATTCTGGTGGGACAGTTCCAGCGAGCCAATGTTTATGTATTTAGTGAGAGCTTCAATGGCTTCGTCATTTAGGTTCCTGATCATACCATTGAAGCTTCTATCTGCACCCGCGGCTGTGTTCTTCTTGTTACTAAATATAACTGCTCTTATCTCAGCGTCCGTAAAAGGCTTGTCTAAATCAGGTTGCGGTGATCCTTTACACCTTCGTTGATATGAAGGCGTCGCTTCGTCTTCCCCAAAGCATTTTTGATGCATGGCTTGAATGAGGTCCTCTTTTTGTACCAGGGTATAAGTGCAGCAATTTTTCAACGGCTTTACTGTTTTCACTTTTTGTCTTCGTGGGGTCTATCATGGCTATCACTATGTTCCATGTTTTGGCCGTACTCAACGTTTTATTGAGTGAATCACAGAAATTGGCCTAATTAGTTGCAGCTAGTTGATTGGCGTATTCCTCTGCGCGCTGGGTGATATCTTTGTTTCTTTCTTTCAATTCACGGTTACGTTTCTGTCTTTTCCGTCTTTTCGTAAGGCTTCTTCTTGCTTCCCAAAGATGTAGTGGGTGTGAGTCAACCTCAGGGGCATTGCTTGATCGTGTTATTTCTTTACTGTACCTTTCTTTTTGACGCCTTATTTCGTCACACCCATCACTCAAGTTTGTTATATCTGAGGCAGTCAACCTTTGTTTCAGTGATTTTTTGAACGCATGCCGATTAGTTATTTTGGCAGCGCCAATCTTTTTACGAATCTGATATGTGTGTATAGTGGTGCATAATATGTAGTTATCACAGCCTATATTTTTTTAGAGTGTTGTGCCATTCCACCTCTTGACAATTTTTTCACATAGTTAGATCCGGTGTCGTGTCTCTGGAGTTACTGTTTCCCAGTCTTGCTGGCATTGCTGGATCCGTCAGGAGTATCATACCTGTAATTTCTATTTGCTGGGCTATGTTTTTGCCTTTGGCATCCTGAGTGAGGTATCCCCAGCTTGGGTCTTTTGCATTGAAGTCCCCCACCTCTATGAGCGTGTTCTGCTTCGCTAGTTTTGCTGCATCTTCAAGTAGTTTGTCGAAAGTTGCCTTTATTTGTCGAGGTGGGCTATAAATGTAGAGGATTAAAATACTTTTCTTTTTCTTCTTTTTATATAGAATTTCCGTAATGATATGAGGGATTTCGATTCCTTCTATTGGTTTATGCTGTATTGCGGTTATGGATTTGCGGACTAATGTCGCCACTCTCCATTCGTTGTTATTATTCACAGCTTCACCATGAGTGTCATAGCTCTGCATGCTTGGCCTTATTCCGACCTCTTGGAGAGCTATCACAGCAGGTGGCCTCGGCTACATGGCCACCAGCTGTGAAAGGTGTTCCTTTTTTTGTCGGAATCCCCGGCAGTTCCACTGCCATATGTCGCACTCTTCCGTAGTTTTTCTTAGTCGCTTATGCATTGTCAGTAGCTTCTTGTGTTATATTGAGTAGGGCCGGCCTGTTATATGCCTTATCTGCTTTTCCCCTTATGTGGCTACCGTTGGTATGCTTTCTCAATGCCTTCGTGTGTTCTATCTGTTGCGCTTGAATTTTTCTTTCCAACACGTCCAAATTTATGTCTACCTGCCCCATGACCTGTTTGACGATAGAAGGAACTATTTCTTTTACGGCTTCTTTCAGAATAGCTATTGTCACCACAGTGTCGCCATTCAATATTGATACGCTTTGTTGCTGTTGCTGTCCTGCCGAAGAAGTTTGAGGGGGTTTCTCTTGTGGTTGTTGCTGCTGCTTTTGTTGGCTTCTAAGTTGCCTACTTTCTCT